AAAGCAATCATAATTGGAAAGATTGACAGAAAACATTTTAATTATGTTAACAACCCTATATGCAATATATAGATATTTTATAAGAATGCTTCTCTCAAAATTACAGTATGGTAGAGTGGTTGCCAAGTATGTGCTTTCCTGACTTGGGATCTACCACTTACTAGCATTCCACCATTAGGCAAGTTACTCTTAAATCTCAGTTATTTCCACTTAACACATAAAAAAGTATCTACATCACTGAGTTTTTATAAGGATTATATAAAACAATCCAGGTAGAGTACTTGTTAGAATAATACTGTGTCAGGCACTGTACAAGATAATTATGGGGCGCCTGGGTGGCTCAGTCAGTTGAGCGGCCAACTTCGGCTCAGGTCATGATCTCGCGGTCTGTGAGTTCAAACCCTGCATTGGGCTCTGTACTGACAGCTCAGAGCCTGGAGCCTGTTTCGGATTCTGTGTCTCCCTCTCTCTGACCCTCCCCTGTTCATGCTCTGTCTCTCCCTGTCTCAAAAATAAATAAAAGGTTAAAAAAAAAAATTAAAAAAAAAAAGATAATTATTAAATTAAGCTAGTATACTTTAAAAAGAATACTTTAAAATAATTTACTAAAAAATCAAAACAAAAAGAACCTTGGTTTCTGAGGTAAACTGACATCGCTATTTTAAGTGGGAGAGGAAGAGAAAGAGGGAGAGCGAGAGTGAGTGAGGGAACACTGTAAGAGCATGGAAGACCACACAGTTTTCATGTGATTATGAAAACTCTTAACAATGTTTAAGGATTTGAACTTTGCTGAATGATTACTCTTTCTTAACATATGGTATAGAAGGGGCTCCTGGCTCGCTCAGTCAGTGGAGCATGCAACCCTTGATCTCAGGGTTGCGAGTTCGAGCCCCATATTGGGTGTAGAAATTACTTAAAAATAAAATCTTTAAAAAAATAACTTCCATAAACATTTTCCATGTTTACATATATACTTCCTTATTCAAACTACTAGGTGTTTTCTAGATTTCTCTTCATAGAAATCAGGTAAAATTTAGAAATCAAGATCTCTAAAAGGGGAACGCTCTTGCACTATTGGTGGGAATGCAAACTGGAGCAGCCACTCTGGAAAAGAGTATGGAATTTCCTCAAAACACTAAAAACAGAGCTACCCTACAACGCAGCAATTGCGCTATTAGGTATTTACCCAAAGGATACAAAATGCTGATTTGAAGGGGCACGTGCACCCAATGTTTATATCAGCACTACCAATAGCCAAATTATGGAAAGAGCCCAAATGTCTAAAAACTGACAATGGATAAAGATGTGGTGTGTATATACATACATATGTACACACACACACACACACACACACACACACACACACACACACGGAATATTACTCAGTGATCAAAAAGAATGAAATCTTGCTATTTACGACAATGTGGATGGAACTAGAATGTATTATACGAAGCGAAATAAGTCAGTCAGAGAAAGACAAATACATATGATTCCACTCATGTGGAATTTAAGAAACAAAACAGATGAACATAGGGGAAGGGAAGGAAAAATAGGATAAAAACAGAGAAGCAAACCATAAGAGGTTTTATGAGCTGTATGAATTTTTTAAAAAATTTTTTTAATGTTTATTTATTTTTAAGAGACAGAGTGTGAGTAGGGGAAGGGCAGAGAGAGAGAGAGAGAGAGAGAGAGAGAGAGAGGGAGGGAGGGAGGGAGGGAGACACAGAACCTGAAGCAGGCTCCAGGCTCGGAGCTGTTAGCACAGAGCCAGACAGGGGGCTCCAACTCAGGGACTGCGAGATCATGTCCTGAGCCCAACTCGGACACTTAACTGACTGAGCCACCCTGGCGCCCTGGTCCTGTTGGTATTCTTAAAGCATGAGAGATGGAAAATAATATTCCAAGGAGGGAATAACCAGTCCAGCACAACAGTAACATTACTGGGCTTATTCTAGATATTTTCTAGGTATCTAAGGATGATAAAACATCCTTACAGTGCATTTTTAAATTAAGTTTATTTATTTTGAGAGAGACAGTGGGAGTGGGGGAAGACAGGGAGAGAGAACCCCAAGCAGGCTCTGCACTGACAGCCGATACAGGGCTCGAACTCACGAAACTGTAAATCACAAACTGAGCAGAAACCAAGGGTTGAACGCTTAACTGACTGAGCCACCCAGGTGCCCCCAGTTTAAGTATCTAATAGCCATGTTCTACTGATTCACTTGGAACTTACTACTCAATAAAATTCTATTACTGCTGATAAACCATACACTCCAAAAGCACTACACAATGTATCCTCCATCCAAGGAATCAAGAACTTTTTTATTAGCTTAGTGAGATTATGTACTTTACTATAGTTTTTAACTTACTTTTCCAGTAACCATGGGAAACAAGACTTTACCAAGATTTGCTATCCATCTTTATTGGGTCATGTCTATACCAACCTTCTGTTATTTGAGATTCTTATCCAGAAGCTCATCTATTTTATACTTTGTTTTATATAGTCTTTTTCTCTTTTTAAAGATGTAAATGACATTTACCTACCACTAAGCTTCTGTCATCTTTTATCTCTTAAAGATAGTTCAACTATTATATCTTTTAAGTTGCCAACAGTGACACATTTAATTATAACACATAAAAGTATTTAGGACAAATTAATTTTAGTAAAAGAAAGTCTAAACCCAATAAGCATGAGAAGACTAACATTTATTCTAATGAAGACAAATACCTCCTTCTTTAAAAAGACAAAAAACAAAACAAAACACAACAACAAAAAAACCCCAGCCAAATCAATGCTGAGGTACAGTGATTTGTGCCCTAATTACACCAAACTCAGGCCTATCCCTGGAAAAGTCCTACTCCAATAGCAAGAGCCCCTAAAACTGTTGAAAATTTAATAAGCCTTGGTTTACGTAGTGTTTAAAGCTTAATACCCTATTTCTTTGCCATGCCATTCTGTACAATATATTTAGCCAATACTAGATGCTTTACTGGATTATTTCTTCTATTCTCTAAGAAATAAAACTCAAAGCAAATCAGGAACTCTAATTATTGATAGCAAATATACAGAGAGCTTAAGTTCCCTATATAGTATCTTGACTCTTTGTTACATCATTCATAAACTCATAAACTGATTACAACCAACACACCAACTCCAAACCCTTTCTATCTCAGCCTTGATTTACCAATAATGCCAGTTCTGGCCAATTCTAGATCTTAATATTCATTCTAGTTGTTGGTTATATGATGTCCTATTTGTTGTAGAAGTCTCATTTGAAATAAGCAACGTTGGCAAGTTAGCCAAAACCATAAGAAATATCAGAAAAGTAGATTAAAGTGATCTACTTTTGACCCCTTTCCAGGTATCCTGGAACTCTGGGTTAACAGCAAAGTATTTTATACCATTTTATGGCAAGAAAAATCACAACTAGTTTTGGATACTGAACTCTTATACTAGATAAAGATTTGGCAGTCTAATATTTCCACACATTAAGGTTATCATGATGACTCACGTTCATTTAGTGTGTTGAATAAATACTAAATCTGCCCCAATGGTAACTTTTACAGGATTTTGAAAATAGGTAATTAAAAAAAAAAAAAAAATTCAGTTTTAGAATCTTGACCCTCAAGGCAAGTTCTTAAGTTTTCAAATGAACATTTAAAAACATTTCACTGGGGCGCCTGGGTGGCGCAGTCGGTTAAGCGTCCGACTTCAGCCAGGTCACGATCTCGCGGTCCGTGAGTTCGAGCCCCGCGTCAGGCTCTGGGCTGATGGCTCAGAG